AACTGGGAGGGGCCTCTGACCCAGGCCTACCTAGTTTGAACATGAATCTGCTTGAGGACACACCCCACAGGACCCACGCTTGAATAAGCATCTGTCCTGCGACCCTGACAGCCAACATGGCCCCAGCCCTCGCCAACCACCACGTGAGGCCGTCGAGCTAGGAAGACAGGATTCCGCTGCTCTGCTGCATCTCGGGCCCACCACAACGGGCACCCCCAGCAAAGGGCAGGCTGCAGGCCGGTGGTGGTTCTGCCCCTGGCTGCCAGGCTCCCCCTCTTCTTCTTTTTGGATTAGCTCTTCCTGTGACGACAGGTACCACACAACTTCTCCAGCCTGACTCCTGTGCATCGTTCCAGCTGGTTCTTGCCTGCCGAGTCTTCAGTTTTCTCTGGTGTCCACTATGGTACAACTTAGAGTACTCCATCGTTACCAGAAACCTGGTCTAAAGACAGGCCTTTCTTCATGGGAGGACTGCACGCTATTTCCCAAAGGCAATGAATGCGGTCTACTCTGCTCTTCTATTGGGACTCGTCCTTTTGGGGTGCCTGCTCATGGTAAATGGACCCATGATAAGCTCTGCCCAGGGTCGGCCCAGCCAATTGTATCTCTCGGTCTAGACCAGGGGTGTCAAATTAAAATAGAAGTGGGGCCCTCTAATTGGCACATAAGGATCCCTGCAGGTCACATAGTGAACTAGTTTTTAAAATGGAATGTTTTTATGTTTTCTTGTATTTTTATTTATTTGTTAAATGTTTGCCAATGAGGTTTTCCTGGGAGCGGGGTTTTTCTCCAGTGTCGTTAAGAGGTCCTGCCTCGCCCTGGAGCCATCTGAAGACCTTCTTCCCAGCTGGGCCTCCCAGTCTCCACCTTATGCTGTTCATGAGCAGAGCGCTGAACACAGTGCACGCTGCTGTTAATATGTGAGGGAATCCTGGACCATCTCTGGCAGAGGCCACAGCGTAAGGAGAACCTTGAATGGGGTGCTCACTCTGCAGAGTCTGAATGCTTCCTGGGAAGCACCATTTGGTCCTGCACTTTCTGCCCCTTCCAATCTGTGCACAACGCAAACACCACCTGCTTCTGCCCTTTCATCGAGGACGTCTTTGGCACATCACGTGCAGATTATTCTCCTAAAAACTCAGTGACCGTGCAGTATCAGAACGTCACCTAAGAGGCCCTTCTCCTTCTGGCGTGGGGGCAACGGGAGGCTGGGGAAGGTTTCGTGGAGCACTGGCACCTCGTGGAACTGGGCCTATCAAGATGGAGAGATCACAGTCCAGGCCAGCCCTGGGACCCCAGAGAGTAGACACACAGGTGACCAGGTGGGAAACGGCATATGTACCTTCACGGATTCATGGCACAAGGGAGACACAGAGGGCATTTTTCTCTCCACCCTCATCTAATGCCAAAAATTTTAGATGCTTAAACCCTCTCCCTCCAAGAGTACACTTGGCACCAAGGTCTTCAGAAATAGGCTAGGCCAAGACACCTTCCCTAGGTCAGTGCTTACAGCTTCACATGCTAGAGCACACGGTGCCACGGAAAGGGCCCAGGCCCTTGAGCCTTAGGTTCAACTCTCAGCTGTGTTACTTATTATCTGGGTGACCTTGAGCAAGTCACTTCAATTCGATGGAAGCCACTATTTATTAAGCTTCCACTGCTGATGTCCCCTCTGGGCCTCAAAGTCATTAATGCCCCCAACTCTATGATCTTCCAATCTGTGGTCTAAAACACAGCCCTGGATTCTTCCTTCCTTCAGTGGCTCTGCTCCCAGAGACTTCCAAATTCCTACTGTCTCACACGGGCCTCAGAGCCACCCGGCGAGACGACGGGCCCTCACGCCACCCGGCGAGACGACGGGCCCTCACGCCAGGGCAGACAGCCTGGAGGTCTGAATCGGAGGCGCAGACCTGATTCCTGGCTCGGCCACTTCCTGCATGGCCTCCAGGGATAGATCAGTTTGCTCTGCCTGGTCCTCTACTTCCCTCATCAGTAAAAGGAAGGGACTGCTCCTGGTCAAAACACTTTCTGCTTGATACTTAGATTCTTGGTTGTGTCTCATTAAAAACACGCCCTTGCCTGATCCGTGCTGTGAGCTATCCCTCTTTCTCTCTTTTCCCTCCAAACCCACCCTCAGAGAAAAAGCTGTCGGCAGGTGACGTCCTCCTCACGCTCACACCTGGCTCCAGCCCCATCAACACACGGAGCCAGCTCTCTTCAAGGTCACCGATGACCGTCCAAGCCGACGGCTTTTTCTCAGGCCTCAGCCTCTCTGATCAGCCTTCTTCTTGGAGACGCTCTCTTCTCCCTGAGTCTTCACGCCACCAGCCCGGGCTCTCCTCCTGGCACAGAGCTTTCTCAGCAGTCTCCTTGGCAGAGTCCTCACCTGGGTCCAATCACGGGATGAGGGCAGACCTCAGGGCTCTATGCCAAGCCCTCTCTCTTCTCAGATAAATCACTTCATCAACTCCCATGGATTCCCCAATCCCTTCGCTATGGATGACTTCCAAGCCTGCATGCTGAGCCCTTATCTCTCTCTGCTCAGCGCTCAGCTCAGGTCCCACATCACCAAAAGCCTCCACTGAGAAGCCTCAGCGACATCTCCAACTCAACTGTCCAAAATACCTGTTATCTTTACTCTCCAAAATACTCCTCCTCTTCCTCCGTCCCTCCTTTTAATCCCCAAGGCTTGCAGCTTCAAAACTATCCCGGGCCCTTCTCTCTCCATCACCCGCCCGCCCTGATCGGCTGCCTGACTTTTCCATCCCACCTCCACGACAGCCCCTCGAGGTGTCTGGCCTTTTTTCTCTCCTCTCGGAACCAGCAGTCGAGCTCAAAATGACTTTCCCTCTCGACCTCTCTCCTAAGACCCCTAAAACACAGATCTGCCCGTGCCACTCTCTGCTCAGGAAATGCCATGTTCCCTCCTACCACACCAGACCAAAGACCAACTTGTCTCTTGGTATCAGAAGCAGAAGACAACTGGGCCCAGCTTTTCTGCATGGGCACACCTTCTGCGTCTCAGTTATTCTGCCCCATGCAAAACAGGCTGTGTGTCACCGCCATGCCTGTGAGCAGCGGCTCCCTCTACCTGGAGCACTCTCCCCTGCTTCTCCGGTAATGGCTTGGTATCAGTGTTCCCCCCAACCCCATACAAAAGACGGCTTCTCCCCGGTCCCCCTATTACTCTGTACTTATTTCTCATACATTATTGTTTCCTGAGCAAAACTGAAACCCCTCAAAGGCTGAGACATTCTCATCTTTATCTCTATATCCCCCAAGCTCCGCCCAGTGCCGGGCACACACGAGGTCTTTCACGACTGTGTGCGGACAGTAATCAAGGGATGAGGAGGGCAATGTGTCCTTCTACAGGGTTAACACTGTAAAGAGTTTCGATAGCTTAATTTTAAAAAATAACATCGAGGACATAAAGGAAAACTCTGTTAAAGGAGGAAATCTCTAAGAGAAAGGGAAGGGGATTTGGAAGATAGAATTATCTGGTTCATGAAGAATTGAAGTCCAGGGCAGTCCAGGACGTGTGTGAGTGTGTGTGGGGGGGTGTGTATGTGAGTGTGTGTGTGTACGTATGTGAGTGTGTATGCATGAGCACGTGTATATGAGTGTAAGCGTATGAGTGCCTGTGTGTGAGCGTGAGTGTGCTGAAAAGCTGACCAAACACATGTTTCATAATGAAGACCTTGTGGTTACAGTGACATCCTGCTGACTACCATTACGTTGTCGGTGGGCAGGCAGGAAGAAAAGGAGGGAGGAAAGAAGGAAGGGAGAGGGGGAAGGAGGGAGAGATGGAGGGAGGTCCATCCAATAAATGCTCTGGTCTTTTCCTCCCGTCCTTTTGACAAAGTGCTGCAGAGCTCTGACCTCCTGAGGGTCTGGACTAGGTTTGAGTTAACATGCTTTTACTGTTGCTGAGGAGAGACTGGGAGGGCAGTCTTCACCTCTCCTCCCTGACTTTCCCCAAACTCTGGAGGGGTGAGTGTGACAGATTGCAGAATCAGTGTAGGAAGGAACCTCTGAGGCTCCTAATTCAACCCAAACCTAACCAAGAATCAGCCCATTGGCAGATGCACAACTGCCCAGTCTCTGCCTGAAGCCCTCAAAGAAGGCCTCCCTGTCTACCTTCAGATACAGCCTATTCATGGGATGATGAAGCTTTTCCTGGCATCAAGGTGGACTGTGCTCCTCTGCAGTTTGCCCCTATCCACTGGGCCTAGTTGCCCCACCCCCCGCCGGCAGAATAAGGCCAATCCCTCCTCTGTGGGACAACAGCGGCCTGTTAGCTCCGGGCGGTTTGGCTGCTGGACCCTCCACAGCCCCTGTTCCTGCTGCTCCACCTAAGCATTTCTGGCAGGGCTTCCACCTGTCAATGGCCTCCCACAAGATGTCACCCAGCCATGCCTCAGCACCCTGTACTCAGACACAGCTGACCCTGATCCATCCATGTGAAACTGCATCTAAGCAGATTTAGCCCTGGGCTCTAGCTGCCGGTCCAGCCCGCTGCCCAGCCCGCTGGCTCACCTGCCTCCCCAGCTCACATCAACTGTGCCATGTCGAGGACGAGGAGGCCCCCCCAGGGTCAAAGGCAGAGCCCTCCAGCAGGGACTCCAGGGCACAGACACTAACACTTGAGTTTGTTTCAGCAAGAAAAAAAGACACGTATAGAAACCAACATCCATTTCTTTCCCACGTTCATCAGATTTCATAGCTCACTGAAATGTCTGCCCAGAGCTGCCCATCCGTGCACACCATACGGTGTGAGGCACGCAGGGCCCTGAACTGACATGACTGAGGGATGTCCAGAGCACAGAGAAGGTTTCATCTGGAATCCTAGATAGCTGAGAGCACTGGCCAGGGGGAAGCCTTCCCCCAGAAGTGAGGAGATCCCCACGCCGGCCCTTTACTTTCTAAACCACTGGCCGACAACCCCCGGCTTCAATGCCTGCTGTCCTCTAGAACAGCCTGTGTAACAACTCCATAAATACCTGTGGCACTGGCTGTCCGCCCAAAGGGAAGGCGATGGGTGGTGTGGCGGACCCAGCAGTGGCAGGCGGGAACCGTGGTCTTATTTGCGTCCCACCTCGGGGCACGGCTGTAGTCATCATCTTTGAGGACAGAGGGACAATAGACAAAAGTAATCGCAAAACAGGAAACACAGGCAGGCTCCGGGGCAGGACGAAGAGAAGCACAGGCAGCCTCTGGGAAGGGAATGCTAGTGAGCTTTGGGCGGGTGGGCAGGGCTCAGGCAGCTGGAGAGAGATGAGAGGCCTCTAGGAGAGTTTCAAGGTCCTGAAGCAACTGATAAGGAGATTCAGCAGCAAAGAAAAAAGATTTCTTTGGAGAAAGCTGGGATCCTCCTCTTTCAGGTTCCTTTTTTAAAATTCCAAACATCTTGAGTTTGAAATAAATCTTGGGAAGTGCATATGTGAAAAAATAAGATCACGGGGCTTGAAGGGGCCTTAGGAATCGAATCCAACCTGCTCCTTTTACAGAGGAGAAAACTGAGGTCCAGAGAGGGGGAGTGATTTGTCCAAGGTCAAACAGAAGAGAAGCAGGATTAGAGCCAAGGTCCTCGGCCTTACGCCCTCAGCTGCCCAGCCCTGCAGCCTGGCCCTGGGTGGCCCTGCCAGCAACTTGGCAAGGGAATTCTTGGATTCAGCCCCTCGGGGAAAAATCCAGAAGGTGGCTTCCTCTGCTGCACTGACCGCCTCCAGAACCCAGAGGCAGCCATCATGAAGAGAGAAACAACTCGGACAGAGCAAATCCACTTCCTTGACTCAAGACCTTCCTTCTCTGCCCCAAAGGCCTGAGCTCAGAAGCAGGTTTTATGAAAGATCCTGTCTGTCTTCCTCTCAGCTTCAGCATGGGGACAAAGGGAGGAAAGGGAATGCCCCCCAAGCTTCATTTCAGGGACTCCCAGCATGGGAGGAGGATGGCGAGGGGCAGGCACTTGGCATGTGCTAGTTTCTAAACAAAGTTGTTTAAAAGTCACTTCAGACTCCCGTAACCCTGACAACATGTGTGTGTGTGTGTGTGTGTGTGTGTGTGTGTGCGCGCGTTTTGTCACCAGCTCCCCGGTTTGTTACCTGGAGTCAGTCATTTGCTCTCCCAGGGTCTGCTCAGCCACATTCCAGGCAGTGAGTAGGTGAAAGAGGAGGGAGGGAGGGAGGAGGGCAGGACATCTCTGCGCAGGGAGAGGGTGCGTGTGCTACTTAAGATTAACGAGGCCAAGGAAGGACAGAGCACGGCGGACAAAGAAAAGCAAGAAGCAGCGGAGGAGTGAGCAGACATCCCATCGGCCCAGGGCTAGCTCTGTGCGCTTCAGTCCATGCAGACAGGGGGCAGAGGCAGGGTTCCAGAAGGAAAGACCACCAGCATCAGGCCAGGAACAAGAACCAGCCTGTCCGGACCCCAGAGCCAGGCTGGGCCGCTCCACCACACCTGCTTGCGCCTCTGACTCCATCTTGTGCCCAGAGGCACAGAAGCGAGCTCCCCTCACCCCAGGCCGGCCCTCTCTCCTCTAGCATTATCAATAAAATAACACAGACTAACTAGCCTGGTGCCGTGACCCAGCAGAGAGCGTCCCCTGGCAACAAGAGGAATTCTTTGTCATTAGACTATGCACCTGAACAAGAGGTCACTGACCCTCTCAGAATCTCAGCAGAACACCCCCCTTACTCTGGGGCTGCCCAGTCCCCAAAGTGCTGGCTTCACAACATCCCTGTGAGGAATGTGGCACAAGGCTTATTCTCCCCAGTTTACAGAAGACCAAACTGAGGTTTGGTTAGTAAATGACTGGCCCTGGTCTTCTGCTTCCAAGTGGCGCTCTGCTTGCCATCATACGCTGCCTTTGTTTCTACGCTAAGAAAAAGGAAGGCAAACGTGGGCCCAGCTCTGGTTACAGCTGCCACAAACTTGTCTGACCGAGAAGTGCCCAACACTCTGACCCATGTCCGCTAGCCCTCGCCCTGGGGAGCCGCTCCCATGGACACAGGGAAGGGGCAGAGTCAACGTCCAGGGATTTGCTGGCGCATCTGGGCCACTCCATTGCCATCTGGAGAGCGCCGCTCCAAAAACTGACACAGCACCACGCAGCCTCCTGAGGCCTGTCCGCTAACCCAATCCACCCCATCCCTGCCTCTAGTCCTCAGCCACAACAGGCAGCCAGTAAGCCAGGGGTCACACCCATGGGAGCTGAAACTCTGGAAAGGGTGCCACTTAACCCACACCAAAACACGTGGCTGAGGAAGAAGATCTTCCTCTCGAGCCACGTCACAGCCTGTACGGGCGGCCTGGCCTGCGGCCACAAAGCGACTTGCTGACGTAGTCTGCCAGCTTCACCAAGGGAGCAGTGAAGGCCCTACCACGCAAGCAGCCAATTCTCCATGGCTCCAGGTCGGGCTCCCAGAGAAAGTACTCCTGCCCCCCTGGGATGCCTCTTTAAGCTTCGGTTGGCTTGGGATGGCTCCAGGAGCCAGTGCAGCCTCTGATGCAAAGCTGCTGAACAGAAGATCTCAGAGGAACACCATGCACCAGGGATGCTCACCTTGAGCCTGGCCTGGCCAGGAACAGGAATTACCTGTTCACAGAAACCTTTGGGAAGGTTTACCAACTCAAGCGCTCCAATCTCCCTGCCCCCAAGCCCCAAGAGGGGAGACCCTCACAGGCCCCCTCCAGGAAAGGTGGCCAAGAGCACCCAGAGCCCCCTGGCAGTGGCAGGTTCTCTCCTTCTTCCTCCACAGAGCTCTGTGGAGGCTCAGAGTCTGAGAAATTTGGCTGGGGAACAGGGGACTCCCCCACCAAAGTTCACTGAGGTCATAAGCCAAAAGCTCCCTCCAAGCTCCCAAGCAAAGAGCCCAAGCAACCACTCAGTCCCTCTGTTTGTCCAGACAATGAAGTGTACACACGCAGACTCCCCTCGGGGAGAGGAGGGCGGTGGGTTGCTGTCCACGCCAGGGCCATATTCACCTCTCTTAAGCTTTCATTTTGGGCTTGAGACAACAAGCACGGACGCAGGCCCAGTACAGAGCTCCAAATGCTCAAAGGCCAGCTTAGGCCAGACCCTGAGGTGGGCGAGGGCTACTTTGGAGAGGGCAGTGGAGGAAAGGAAGGCAAGGAGTGGAAGAAGAAAGGTGGGAAGAGAAGAGGGCACAGGTGGGGGGCCGGGGAGAGCCCTGCCCCGCATGAAGACACAAAAGGGAAGCGGAGTCCCAAGACGTTGGCAGAATCCTGTCCGAAGCTGGGGGAAACCCTCCGCCCCCATGCTGCTTCCAGCCCCCATCAAGGGGCAGTCAACATGAGTCCGGCCCCTCTCAGTGGCTTGCATGGTGACTGAGGGACACAGGGGTCTAGTGGTTGGTCTGTCTGAAAGAAAAACTGCTGGATGGCTCGCACTAGAGGAAGAGCTGTGCTGCTCAGCTGAGTCTGGGACGCAGCCCATCCGATTCTGGGGCCTTTCTGGAGACCACCGGGGGTGCCCGCCCCGGCCCTGCCCCCAGGAAGAGGATCGGGAGGCCTCCGGAGCTTGTCTGACCAAGCCCAGGCCTCCTGGGACACACTAACAGGCGGTCATCAGATCCGTGCCCCATCGCTGGCCCAAGCAAATGCCTTCAGGGCACTGACCTGGGGCTTTGGCAACTACTCAAGGGCGATTTCCCCACCAAACAGGAAGAACAGATCAATCCTCTAGAAGCTCAAAATCAGCCCATCAGAACTGGAAGACACTTCAGACACCACCTAGATGCTAATGACCTCGCACTGCAGAGGAGGAAACTGAGGCCCAAATGGGGAAGGGACTCGTCCAAGGTCTTGTCTGCACAATATTTTAAAAAACATGTCCAATTTAATGGACAATGTCCACCTCTTCAATAACACGTACAGTGGGAACTTCCAGGTGAGGGATGGGCTGAATGAATGAAAGGTCAGTTACCACCCTCGACGCCCTCCCCACTGGGCCACTCCTCACCCAAGGAGGCCCGGGCCTCTTTCACGCCCGAAGGATCACATCTTCCCTGCAGCAGAGCAGCGGCAGAATCCACGGGGAGTAGTCACCCCGCTACATCCGATGCTCCCGACTCCCCGAGAGACGGAAGGGCGAGAGAAACCTCTCACGGCCAATCTCGTCCCGACCTCACCCCACGGGCTGAGCACATGAGGTGGCCCAGAGCTCCCAGCATCGAGGCGGCCTATCTCAGCCACTTCTCTAAAAGGCCAGATGCTCATGACTATGGCCTTTAACCCATCGCCTCGTGACAGGCGATGGCAAGGAAGGAGGCCCCACCCAGGCCGTCGCCCTTCCCGCCAGCCCCCATTTCAGAAGAAAGGAGGAGAGGAGGGGGAAATGGTCCTTGGACACCCAGCACGGAGGCAGAGAAATGCCATCAGTCACCAAGCCTGTCACCTCTCTGGTGGTCTGCTTCTTCTCGGGATGGTCCTTCGGGACCCCTATGCCCTGACACTCCAATCTCCTAATCTCACAGGTGGGGTGGAAAGACAAGAGAGAAGAAAGCAGGAGGCAGAAGGAGAAGGTGTGACACGCCCAGGTTCTTCTCTGTTCAGTACAAAGGAAATGAAGACGGATGCTAGGCACAGACCAGCGTCACTGACGCCCCAGGCAGGGGGCACCCAGTGGGGATGACTGCACACCTGTGTCCCCACTGCTCGGGACAGACATGCAAGAAGAGTCCTGCCTCCAGTGGAACCCAGAACAAGTCCAGTCTCCTGCAGAATGACCAGGACCCTCCTCAGAAAGCTCCCTGAGGCCTAACTCCATGCACTTGCTGCAGACTGGATGGCCAGGCCTGCCCTCCCTTACCTGTCCTCCTGTGGCGGCTGCTGCAGCTGCTGCGGCGGCGGCGGCGGCCATCTGAGCCACCTGGGCTGCCTGGGCTGCAGCCACCTGCTGCTGCTGCTGCTGCTGCTGCTGCTGCTGCTGCTGCTGGGCCTGCTGGGCCTGCTGCACAACCATCTGGGCTCGGACCTTGAGGAAGAGAGTGAGCAGATGCTGGATGGTGGGGCCGACAGACCCCCGATGCTGGCCCGCAGGTGACCTCGCCTGAGAAGGCATCGGGCACAAAACACGATCTCAGGTGCTGGAAGAGGAGCCGAGGCAAGGCCCCGGCCGTGATCCTGGGAGGACGCAAGGGCGCAGGGTGACAAGCCTGATCAGAGGCTAAAGTGGGACGGCCTCTGGGCCCTAGGCTGTCGGGAGCTGAGGAAGACGGGAAGCTGCTTACGTTCCCTGCGCCTTCATTTCTCCTTCTGTAAAACTGGGGATGCTCCTCACTGAGAAAAGTACCGTCAACAGAAAAGTTGATGAGAAACGGAGCTCCCAGCGACCCTGAAGCCCCACTGGGCAGCCCTCCTCGTCTCTAACAAGCGGGAAGAGCGGCCTCGTCCCCGACCCGCTCCCCTCGGCCCACGAGCCTTCCAAGCCTCACCTGCATCACTTTGAGCTGCTGCGGGGTGAGCATCATCTGCCCGGAGAGCGACTGGGCCTGCGGGACCAGCGGCTGCGCCGGCTGTGCCTGCGGTGGGAGCTGGGGCTGCTGGGTCTGAGCCACCTGCTGCTGCTGCTGCTGCTGCTGGGGCGGCGGCGCCTGCGTCTGTGGCGGATGGTGGTGCAGCTGCTGGAGCTGCTGCATGGCCTGGGAGGGCGGCGGTGCCTGGGACGGCGGAGGCTGCTGGGGCGGCTGCTGGGGCTGCATGGCCTGCTGCTGCTGCTGCTGGAGCTGCAGCTGGGCGATCCGCAGCTGCTGCTGCTGCTGCTGCAACTGAAAGCAGAAAACAGGCACGTTCTCTGGTTACTGGCGGATTCCCGGGCACCTGGCGAGGGGAGGGCCGCAGGGCCGGCCAGCCGCCACTGCCAAGCTCCAAGGGAGCCCTGGGTTCCAGGGGCCATCGGGCCCCGTTAGTCGTGAAGTAGCAACAACTGAGGGAAGCTGTGGTCACTGGGGCCGGCGGGCCTCATGTGGGTCTCAGTGAGGGAGGGGGAGGTGACCTCCACGTAACAACAAAGGGGATGGAGGGAACGCTTTTTTAAAAGCACAAAAGGACGCTGGCTGTGGCAACTCTAGGAAGGGTTTGTCTGTATGAAGGAGGATCCAGAAGGTGGTGCAGACCCCCATCTGGCTCCAGAAGCCTCTGCTAGCGGTCCTGTCTGTGTGGTCACAGGCAGCAGGGGGCCGTCAGAACTGGCTCCAACCACCAGGGGGGTCACTTACAACCTAAGTCCCAATCTCTCAGACTCAGTTTCCTAACCTGAAAAATGGAGACAATAACAATAACTGCCCACTCTAACTTAAAAGGCTGTCCTGAGTTCTTTCTGTAACCATAATGGGAGTGGATGCTGTTCGGAAAGACATCCCTCCTCACTTCAGGGTGGCAGCGAATCCTCTCGGACTCTGCCGCCCATGCCCCGGGCTGCTCCATCTGTCTGCTGCGGTCACTGCCTATGGGGCCCAGGCCAGCTGGCCCCTCTCCGCTCCTCCTCCCTGACGCTCCCTGGCTCTCGGGCCTCCAGCGGCAGCCCAGCCTCCTCTGCTCTCCCCTTCCCACCACACGACCAGGTATTTGTGAACTGCTTCATAGAACTTGTACTTCTTCACTTTATATTGCTGCCATATAGATTTGTATATGCGCTACTTGTCTCTCCCATCAGTGCCAGATGCTCACAAGAAGGGACTGTTTCCTCTTTCCATCTGTACCCTCAGTGTCTGTCACATAGTAGGGACTTCACAAAGACCTGCTGATCTTCTGGGGAAAGCAGAGGTGTTGAGCACCTGTCGGGCCACCCTCCTTGCTCTCCCTGCCTTAGGAGACGGCTTCTCTGAGTGACTCGTCCGAAAGAAGGCACCGCCTGGGGCTGACCTTCTGGGGACAAGCCCCAGGCTGAGCCGCACTTCCGCTCACGTCGAGACAATGGAATCACTGTGTGGCTGCATGTCAAGGTGGCTGAGGGGGCAAACCGAATGGCGGATCTGGTCTAACACAGGCAGAGAACAGGAGCTGATCTGAGCAAGGGAGAGACTGCAGAGCTGAAAATAACATAAAGTCAAACTGAACTTTTTTTTAAAAACACAATCCCAGAGTTATTTTTAAAGAGTCAACAAAAAATAGTAGGTGGGTACACCCGTGGAAAAGGGGTATCGCTTGTGGCCAGTCTGTCGGCTGTTAGGCCTTGTCTTTCCTATCTTTCTTCTCTCCACTCATGTCGCCACTGCCGGGATGGGGCCTTTCCTCCTCCACACATATGTCTAAGCGCGACTTCTAAAGCACAAGTCTGCCCATGGCACCTCCCCAGATCTATTAGCTCCTCGATTTAGCATCTAAAAATCTTGAAGAGGAATAAGCTTTATAGGGCACCTGCTGTGTGCTATGCTAAGCGCTTTTTACAAATACGATCTCATTGGACCCTCACGACAACCCTGGGAGGCAGGTGCTGTTATGATCCCTTTTTTACAGATGAGGAAACTGAGGCAAACAGGGTAGTTAAGTGGCTTGCCCAGAGTCACATAGCTAGTGAGTGTCCAAGGCTGGATTTGAACTCAGGTCTTTGACTCCAGGTCCTGTGCTCCATCTACTACGCTCCTCTCTTGCTTTCACAACCTCATGATGTAGTATCCCCCCAGACACACCACGGTCTCGCCAATCTGGCCTTTGTGCTGCTCCTAATACATGACAGACACCCCGCCTCCAACACCACAGCCATTGTGCAGACAGAGCTGCTTGGGCCTCGCCTTTTTATATGTGTCTCTGTGTGTGCATGTATGTCTCTGTATGCATGCATGTGCCCTGGTATATCTGAGTGTGTCTGTGTGCCCGTGTGCCCAAGTCTATCTCCTGTGTGTGCATGCGTCTCTACATGTCTCCATGGGAGGGGGTGAGGAGGTGGGGTGGGGGAGAGATACGTGCTGCCCCCTCCCATGGGAGGGAAGCCCTCCGAGGACAAGATCGGCCTTGCCTCTGTGTCTGTGTCACTGACCAAGTGAGAGGCCCGTCTGTGTGACCCTGGCCCATGATGCTCTAGGATGTCTGTAACCTGGGAAGAAAGTCCCTGGGCTCGTCCCCAACCACCCCAATCGCTTGCTGGAGCTGAGGGGAGGCAGCCATTGCTGCCAAGACCTTTTCCTTTCTATACTTAGAAGCACCATAAAGGAAATAAAGGGGATTGAATCCAGATCTGCGCAGAACCTGACCTGGCAAGCTGAGGACCTGGGTTCAAATCCACTCTTGGTAACTTGGTACCACAGGAGCCCTGGGCTCATCATTCGACCCACAGAAGGAGGGGGTCAGACCACACGGCCACCAGGAGGTCCTCGCTCATTCTAAGCTATGGTGCCTCCCACAGACTCCGATGCCTCTGGCCACAGGCTCGCACTCACCGGATGCCCACCTGCCTGAGTCTATGACGACGTCCATCCTTACGCTGAGCCCAAACCTGTCCCCACTCTGACCGTGCCCAGAACTAGCCCGCCAGCCTCCTTTTCTAGAACCTTCCCTGCCTGTGACATCAGGGGAGGCAGCCAGTCAGACCTCCCCACAGAGCAGTCTTCAGTTTCTCAGAGTGCCTGGATGCTGGCCTTCCTGTCTCGCTGGTTCACTCTTTGGGACCTGTCACTGCACAGAAGAGCTGGCCGTGGTCCTTTGAGGCTACCTGCCTCGGGGCCTGGCATCTGGACAGTGACCTTCCATTAATGTAGCCAAGGAAGGCATCCACCTTTCCCCTCAAAGGCAATTCACCTCCGGAACACCTGAGGGCAAGCCTCAGCCCCTCCCCAGCAATGTAGCCAGGGGCAAGGCTCCCCTGGGCTACTGCGACGACAACCTCTTCATCGGCCTCCCTGACTCCGGCCAGCATCCACAGAACCACCCACAGTGTAGGTCTGACTAGGTCCCTCTCTGGCTTCCCACAGCCCCAAAGCCATTCATAAGGCAGCTTCCCTACCCCAGACCCTGCAGGGCAGCCCCCTCCCACCTCAGCTCCTGCCCCCAGCACTCCTTCATTCCTTCCCTCACTTGGTAGAGCCATTCCTGATTTTCCTCAAATTCCCAATAGCTAGCGAGGGCCCCACCTCTACACGAGACCGGGGATTTCCTGTGCATGTTTCCCGATATTCTAATAGATGGTTATTAACAAGAGTGCTCCCTTCCCGGCTCCTCTCTGTGTCTGGCACACCACAGGAGCTTAATCAGTGCTTGCTGACTGACCCACTAGTGGGTGCAAGCAACAAGATGGCAGATTTCATATAAGGAAGACCTTTCCAACCATCGGCACTGAACAGCAATGAAAGGGGCTGCAGCCTTCCTTCACAAAGAGACTGGATGATGGCGGCTGATTGCCCAGTGGCTAGAGCCCAGAGCCTGGAGTTAGAGAGATCTGAGTTAAAATCGAGGCTTGGGCACTTCCTAGCTGTGTGACCCTGGGCAAGTCTGTCTGCCTCACTTTCCTGAACTGTAAAATGGGAATCATAACACTCCCGAGAGCTGTCATGAGGACCAAAGAAGGTAATGTTTGTAAAGTGCTTAGCACAGTGCCTGGCACCTGGTTGTTGTCTGTCCTTCGTTCTCGCAGAGGACTGGGACAGCAGGGAGGTGATGCCAGGACTTGCGAGTGAACTGGATTTAAGTGAGGGAGGGCTGTGCGGAGTCACCAGCCTCACTTTCTCCTCCGGAGCCATCTGGGCCCAGTGGCCAGATACAGATCAGGACAAAAGGGGCCGTGGCCTTCTTAAGTTAAGGTCTTTCCCAGGTCTCAGTTTGACTGAGGCAATGCTCATTCAGTGATTAAGGCTAGATAAGAAACGAGGCAGAGAATGGACTCTTCTATTGTTGCTTGTCCTTCTTTCTGGATAAGGACCATGACATCAGGAAGGTGAACTGGAGAGTCGCCAGCTGACACACAGTAGGCATTTAATAGCTGGACCTTCGCCTCCTTCCTTCAAGCCCCACTCCTAAATCTATTGCCAAGCCCTGTCCACCCTCCCCCCACATCCCCCGGCCCCGCCCTTCCCCACCCCCCCGGGCCCCCCCGGTTCCCCCCCCCCCCCCCCAGTTTGGTCTACACAAAGAGCCTCCTGCCTGGTCTCCCTGCTGTGGGCCATCCTGACTCCCATCCAGTCTTCACAGCACCGTCCAGGTCATCTTCCTGGTGCCACTGCTCTCATCAGGTCGCTCCCCATTGCTTACAGAATCAAGTATAAACTCGGGAGCCTGACCAGAACCAAGGTCCAACATTCTTTTTTTTTTTTGCTTTAATTCATAAGCCCCTTCTCCCCTTTTGCATAAAAGCTATGATCCAGGCAAGCTGGACTGTTTTCCTGTTTCATCCCTGCCCACCCCCACCTCTCCCAATCGGCACTGTCTTCTATTCCTGGAATGGATTCTGTCTACTTTAGTCCTCCTCCTTTCAAGGATGGAGACGGCTAGGCTGCACAATGGGCAGAGTCAGGAAGACCTGAGTTCCAATCTGGCCTCAGACACTTAAGACCTTGGGCAAGTCACTTAAACTCTGTACAGTCTCCTTAACTGTAAAATGAAGATAATTAAACAACATCCACCTCCTAAAATTGTTGTGAGGACCAGAAGACACGATGATGGTAAAGCACTCGGCAGAGTGAGCCGCACTGACTCCATCTTGTGATTCAGTTTTAGATCTGGTTAAGTTCGCCTTCTATTCAATTATGGGAATTGGGAAAAAAAATTTTGCTGCAGTGTTTGGCCCTGACCCTGTGAGGGTGGGAAGCCAGGTCACCTCTCTCTGCTTCTTAGGGCCTAGGTTATGCTGATCAGAAACTCAGCCCGATTCAAAGACTGATGCAAGAAGTTTTCTCACAATTTCTGCATTTCAAGTCTTACTTGAAAACTGATCACACTGATCAATTACTGTTTCCATGTTCCTCTGATTGAACACAGACACCTAGAGGATGTGGGACACCTCTTTTTCTGATTTCAGGGAACTGCACCTGTTTACTCTCCCCCTTCCAACTCGAAAAGTCCCTAATCTCTCCTTCAATTAGAGTTCAGATTACCTAATTATACATCCTAATTTGTATCCTGCTTATTGTTAATCTTTTAATATAAAACTCTGTCTCCCTCCATATTTGTGGCCCAATGCCAAGCTGAGGAGACCTGGTCCCAATTTGTTATGCAACTGGCATGCATTGCTTAATAAATCAACATGATTCGAAGCACAAACCTCACGCAACCGTTTTTTGGCGAGCCAGCCAGGAGTACAATACAATGAGTACAATACTGTGTCTGAAACCCCAGGATATGGCTAGTTTTAATTTACAAGTAAAGGATAAATGAAATGTATCTGTTAGGGAAACGTAAGAATATGAATAATATTCAAGCCCTAAGTTGTAATTGGTGAAATTTTGCTCATTGTGGAAAAATTTCTTGAATTTTGATTACAGGGATGGTTGTCTGAATTGTCACGGAGCCAAAAGCAGAAAATGGCATGTGCTGCAATCTGAGAATTGCTACAGGTAGATGTCTGTCCCTGGGAAAAGTTGAGGGGATGACCTTGCTGTGGCCTAAGGTAGGAGCCTCTTTGTTTCTAAACAGGAAGTTTCCCCATTGTACTATTTTTTTTCTGAACAGAAAATCTTCCCATCTGGTTAATCCTGAGCCTGGCTTTGGATACCCTGTGACCTTACATGACTGGCTGTCAGATATGACTTGTGCATGGTCAGAACGAAGGGAGCTTCCCTCCGGGTTACAGGTGTATGTCAGGTCAGTCTGTGCCCATGAGGGGATGAGGCTTGACACTGCTATAACTATGTCCCTCTTTTTCCTTTTATAGAAAATTTCTATAATCAGGGCAGGTGAGCAGTAAGAGTTGTGTAAGTACGGTGCTAAATAGATTTGTACTGGAAAATCTCTAAGTTACTATAATAGGATGCAAGTATGAAAAATCTTACAATTTTCAAGACAAAGATGTAACATAAAAGTTTTCTAATTAAATTGAATAATAAATATTTAGAAATCAACAGGATTTGACAGCTTTCTCCAAGAAGTATATACATACACACATACATGTATATATATATACATATACATATATATATATACACACATACATGTATACATACGATTGACTTCCAAATGTATCTAGTAGGAAAATTAAGGCTTTAGTAATAAGTTCTCAAAATTGGATTAAGGATTTGTATAAAGTTACATTAAGAAACTGAAATTATTTTCCCATTTCTAAAGTATCTGTCTGATAATTTTAAAAGACAGAAGAGTTCATCTGGAGTTAGACACTCATTTTTTTTTTTTAATTCCTACATCTGGTAGAGTTTAGATAAAGACAGAAACAGCTAGTGGTATATTAAAACTTAAATTCTCTGAAGTTTCAGGTTTGGAGAGCACAATTTAAGATATTGTACACTAATTGTATTAAGTCTTGTTACTGGTGGATTTTAGTGGAATTGTCGAGGAATGTCTACAAGTAATTTGGAAACAGAAAAGCAGGGCCCCCTTCGTAGCTGTCCTGAGAATGAGACCTATTCCAGAATGTTTAAGAGAAGATATTTCCAGGGACCAGATGACTACATGGGACATCTAGGACTCAAGAGGAAATGATTAAATGGACATTAGGAGTGGGTTACTAGGATATAAGGAGACTTAGATGTTATTTAATATTGATGATCATCATTGTATTGCTTTGGTCTTACGTTTCATGGTGTTTATATCTGCTGAGTTTTCTTGGTTACCTGGTGACATGTAAATCTCCTCTCTCACAGTTAATCTGCTGTGAGTCTTCCAAGTAGTTTGATCTATAACCTGATTGATGTCATTCTGATTATGAATATATTAAAAACCTTAGAAATCTGGCTTATAGATAAGTGATCCATAGGTGGAGGGGCCATGAATGAAAAGGGGGAATTTTCAATCAAAATAAGTCAAAGGGGGAACGGGTCCCAATTTGTTGAGCAACTGGCATGAAGTGCTTAATAGACTGATACACCTGGAGCTTAAAATGACCTCAGTCATTTTAATCAATCACCACACCACAGTGTCTGGCACCTGTGAGGTGCTCAGGGCCAGGAGCCCTCCTTTCTTTGTAGCCCTAGCTCCTGCTAAATCAGTCCCTGGGAGAGAAGGCTGTGATGGCATCCATCCCCAGTGCTGCGCCTGGGTGTACAGGTGGCAAGGAGCAGATGAGGGGGCTGTCTAATTGATGTGTGTTCAGTCACCTTGCCTGAACCACGACTGCGTGACCAACATGGAAGGGCTCCCCCTGGAGTTGGGGAGGGCCACGACAAAGGAATTTCTGGAATTCCTTCCAGACCTGAGAAACCAACATCAAGGACCGTCATTCTACTAAACCGAAGGCGATGAAAGTCAGCCTGCCGGCTGATATTGCCACGCGCTCCAGCAGAACCTCAAAGCCTGCAGCTCATCAGCAAGCTGGGCCTCAGCAGGGGGCCAGCCTCGCGCCCTTCCCTCCCCGGCCCGGCAGCAGTCTCAGGATGGGGGCTTTTCGGCAGCTGCGGCCAAACCCCTCCCCAGAGCTGCCTCCTCCCTCACCTGCTGCTGGCTCTGATGGTGGAATTTCAGCAGGTGCTGCTGCTGCTGCTGCACGGCCACCTGCAGCTGCTGCTGCTGCACGGCCACCTGGAACTGCTGCTGCTGCTGCTGCTGCTGCTGCATGGCATTCTGCTGGGCCTGGAACTGCTGCTGCTGCTGCTGCTGCTGCTGTTGCAGGGCTACCTGCTGCTGGGCCTGGAACTGCTGCTGCTGCTGCTGCTGCTGCTGAAGAGCCACCTGCTGCAGCTGGAGCTGGGCTGAAAAGACCACAGAGCCTGCCCTGTCCAAAAACCCTCCCGGGCCCAGGCTCAGCCTGGCACCGTCCCGCCCAGCTGCTGCCAGCTTTCTTGCCCTACGGGGGGTGGGTGGCTGCTCCTGGGAAGCCCCCACAGAGCAACCTGCTGAACTCTGCACGCCCTCTGAGCCGGCCACACCGCCCCCAAGAGGCAGAAGAGGGACTGGAAGCCAAGGGCTTGGCGCTCCTGCGAGTGCCGGCGAGGCAACGGGAGGGGTCAGAATGAGCAGCGGAGGATTTGGAAAAGCCTGAGAAGACTTCCACGAGCTGACCTGGCAGCAGCCAGGCGCTCCCCGCCCCCCCGGCCCAGCCAAGAAGCCCACGAGCCCCTCTTGACAGAAGGGAGCGAGAGGCTACTTCTGGGCCTGGCCAATCTGGGGTGTGTGTGTGTGTGGGAGGGGTGCTTGATGAAGCACACTCATTACAGCGTTTTGTTTTTCTTTTTGTCACTGGAGGTGAGAGAAAGTGGGAAGGAGAGAAAATAAATTTTGGTTAATTTAAAAAAAAATTAAAAGAAAAACACCCAGCCTTCCCCTCTTCTCTACAGTGCCTCAGAATTGCTAGCTAGCCTTGATCTTTTAAGAGGAGCCCTCCTGAGTCCTCAGGCTGGCCAGAAACACCAGCTATTCACAAAATACCCTCAAAGAAGGGCTTGGGAAGCCATGCCCCACACCCATGACTCCACTGGCCCCCAGTGGCTAAAATCTCTGGTCCTGCTCCACCCCCCCCCTCCCAAGACAAGTCTGCACAACTGGAGGGCTGGGGCGGGGCGGCGTGGTGGAGGAGCACGTTCCTCCGGCAGCAGAGCCAGACCCGAGGACACCACTTCACTTGTCGGTGACTCAGACACCACTAGAAATGGTGCTGTGCACTGGCAAGCGGTCACACGCACAGCTGAAATGACAGGTCCCATCCAAAAACAATGGGGGCGGGAAATAACCCCTTATCCTCATTAATTATGTCCACGATCAAGACTAGAGTCTTCAGAAACAAGAGGAAGTTCTGGACTAGACGGTCCAGAGAGAAGCCAGATAAAAGGACAAAACGAAAACGCTTCCTCTTCCTCCACCTTCTGGACCATGGCTTGAATCCTTCCACAACAGAATGAAGCCTTTCTCATGAAGAGTAGGGACAGGGCAAAGAGGCCAGCTCGGTGGCAGGGCCCAGGAAGACTAGGAAGGTGAGGAAGGCCCGAGCCTACAATGAGAGAGCCTCTTCTCGCCTCCCTTCCCAAACTCAGCAGGCTCCGAGGGAGCCAGGAAAGCAAGGGGCTGTCCAGCTGAAAAGCCCCTCACAACTACTCCCACCACAGTGAGCCCACCTAATAAGGGAAAGAATCCAGGCAAGAAGGGGCTCAGATGCTGCAGCCAAAGTGCAGCCTTTCCCATCTGGGAACTTTTCTGCACTATTCTGAGACTCCCCCGGTCTCCCCTACACCGGCTCATGCTCCATTCTCCCCCACACAATACAGGGCTGGCAAAGAGGCTCCCACAGGAAAGGAAAGACGACCATCCCCCAGGACTTATCTTCCTGACACAAATGCCCATCAGGGAACCGATAGGGCCAGAGGTACCAGGCGCTGAGGAGAGGGGCAGCCATGGCCACAGAGATGCCCCTTCAGGGCACAGCTCCCCCAGAGCCTCCTGACACTGAACAAATGCTTCACGGAGTCACAGATGTCAGAGCCAGAAGCTACAAGACTGAAGAGCTGATCCAATGCCTTCATCTACAGCTGGGGAATCTAAGGCATGGAAAGAAGTGGAAGGGCCTGGGAGCCCACCAAGGAAACTCCTCTTTTTACAGAGGGAGAAGCCAAGGCACAGAAGCAGTTAACGGCTTTCCCAGGGTCACACAGCTAGCTTCTTCCCTCCTACTACATCGCCTCGTAGGTGAACTGTCCGGAACCATGGGCACTATGTGAGAGAGAGGACTTGAGCCCACCTCCTCTGCCTTGCCACTGCTGACCAGCCTTGACGGAGTCCTATCTCGCACAAGGCAGGGTGGAAGCAGACAGAGATGCACCCGAGGGGAGTCGCAGGCCCAGAAGCTGTCTTTATTCAACTGACACAAAACATCCGTGCGGGCAAGACGAAGGCAGGGACACGTTTAAATGAATAAAGAATCCTTGTTTTCTAGTCAATGCCCATCAACTGGGGAACAGCTGCACAAACTATGGTACACAAACAGAATGGAATGTGACTACTGTAAGAAATGCTGTATGTGATGGACACGCAGAAGCCTGGGAAGACCCACACGACCTGATGCAGAATCGGGAAGACAATCTACACAGCTATGGAAACAGAAAGAATTCCCACAAAATAAACAAAACAGAATGCTGAAAAATTATGAAGAATAAGCTAGGTTCCAAAGAAGAGACACCTCCTCCTCCTCTGGAGTTTTGTACGTCAGCTTTGCTAAAAAACAAACAAACAAATAAATAAATAAATAAAATTTTTTTCTTATTTTTTATAAAAAGTTCTTTATTATAAAGGATACTCTGTGAGGGCAGAACAGGGATACAAAGGAAATCTAGGAGATGTAAAAATAAAATTTTGATAGTCATAAAAGAAACTTACTTTAAAAAGAATGATTTAAAAATCATTCTGCATTATGAATTTATAATCAACAGATACACTAATTATCGATTACTTTTATTTACTCCATTAGGTAACATTTTGTTGCTGGGGTTTAGAGTTGTGATACCTACAAAAATCACCTCTCTTCAGCTATGGAAATATGCAAGACCTTTCTCTCTCCCTCCCTCCCTCCTTCCCCTACCTTTCTTAGGTCTTGATTAGAACCCAGGTCTCCTAATCCCAAATCAATGTCCCTTTCATGAGCTCAGGTACCATCTCCCTCCTGCAGGGCTGGCACAGGGATTCTTCATGGGATTCTGCACCCTTGCCCTTCACTCTAATCCCTCCAAATTAACACTTTTTCTGGAAATGTTCCTATCTATTTATTGCTTGGGGGCCTGCACCCTGCAGCTTTACTTCAACTTTGGACAGAAAGGGGAACAAGGAGATCAAATAATCTGTTCCTTGGTGGGTCCTGCTTAATCCACTGTGTCTCCACCCCCAGTGACTAGCAGAATGCCACTAGTCACTGTGGGTGTAGGCACCTGCAGATGCCTCAGAAATGCTTGTTGACTGAACGATGGCCAGAGAAGGGGCAGCATCCCTGGGACCCGAGGGAAGAGACAGCTGAGAAGCAAGGTCCAACACTACTATCAACAGGAAGGTGGAAGGAAATTAGGTCCTAAAAGCAGATTTTAGAGCTGGAAAGAGACTGCAGATGTTACCTGGCAAAACCCCTTCGTTTTACACAGGAAGAAACTAAAGCCTAGGGAGAGGATGGTGTCACTGAAGGTCACGCGGATCCTAAATGGCAGAAGCTGGATAGGAAGCCAGGTCTCCTGATCCCAAATCCAACGTCCCTTCTGTCAGCCCAAGCTGACTTCCTCATACCCAGAAGTCTCACTGTGATGTCAAAGGGCTAATGATACTTGAAATGAAGGAATACCACATGACCAAGGTGGTCAGATGCTCCATACCTAAGCCTGAACACCCCGCCAACAACATCCCAGCACAGTTCTAGGGCCATTCTGCTTTCGGGGAATCCCAGCAAAGTCTTGCTTCTTTCTTCCCCATTCACCACAATGGTGAACCAAGGGATCCAACATCTGGCTAGGATTGTGTCAGGGCTCCCTTAGCCCTCCTCATGATCCTTGGCGGAAGGGACAAGAAACAAGGCTACACGCTCAGGGACAACATCAACGTCAAGGAATTCCCAAGAAGTGGCTAAGTCACAGTACTTACTCAGCTGAGTGGTGGCAGAAACAAGAGACATACCATGAGGGGGCATTGCTGAGGTGCCAGGTGGTGGCTGTCCCGAGAGGGTCATTGGCTGGCCCACTCCTCCGAGCCCACTTATCCCGCCCAGTGATTGGCCTGGGCCCCGAGACGCCATCCCAATTCCAGTCGCTCCAGTTGGGGGTCCACCTGTGAGGTTCTGTAGGGCGTTCATGGGATCTGTGGGGGGGATGGGGGGAAGTGGGGGAAATGGCACCACTGCTTAAAAGGGAAGGCTCAGGCTGGCTACCCTGTCCTGGGGGGTCACCATTGCCAAAACAGAACCCACTCCTCTCACTGTCCATCTGATTTCATTAGTGTAGGGAACTGATGTGGAAAATGCTCTCCATTGATGGGGTCTGCAACTCCCCTGTAAACTAAGAGTCTGGGAGCACTGCCAAGTCCAGGGTCTGGGTGCCCAGGGTCACCCAGCCAGTGTGCCTCAGAAGGGCGGTCTTGAACGCTGGTGTCATACTGCTCTACCTAAAATAAGCCTCCCCCTTCTCTCCCCTACTACTGCCTGGGGATAAACTGAGCAGATCCCATCTTCTTGGCAATGAATAAGATTGAGCAAAAAAGAAATTTTTCCCCAGAGCCAAAGCTGTGCAGTTAGTGGCAACCCTTTAGCTTAAACACCCCACCCACACTGCTCCTCATTAACTGAGTCTCAGTGAGTTTGGGCTAAGCAAAAGTCTGGTCCACAGTGAGGGCTGCAGTGATCCCAGGTGGAAGTCCACCGCCAGCCCCAGCAAACAAGGGCACCTTGTCACCCACCTAGCCGAAAGGCTGCCAAGAAGAGCTCCCTCCCTATAAGGTCAAGCTCAGAAGAGCTCTAGGCCTGCTCACTCATTGGACACTTCTTGGGGTTCTGACATCTTTTGACCCAGAGGACACCCCCCTCTTCTGAAGGATGGAGGGAGCCAGAAAAGCAGCATGCTAAGATAGAGGGACTGGAGGTGCCAGAGGGGCACTGGGTACTGGAGAAGATGTTTTCATTTGGGCTCCCTAAGATGTACTGGGAAATAATAAAACTCTCTCTTTGAATAGGGTACAATTCCAGAAAATTCCCAATTGGGTTAATCCTGGTCCTACATACCAGATGCACATGCACAGGGCCAAGGAAGAACTGAACAAGAGAGGCAGGGTAAGCAAGCCCAGCAGAGAGAAGACAAGTGTCCTAATATCAGTCTGGAAATAGCTCTCATTTCTTCTTGGGGTGGGGCAGAGGGGGAGTTTCTTTCTTTTCTTTTCTTGCTAAGACAAGTGGAATGTCTTGGTATGAGAAGGGAGCTCTCCATACTCTGAGATGAATGAATTCAGTGGCCAGAAGCAGGGGGTGACCTCAAGTTTCTGCCCTAACTGATACTTTCTTTGAAAAACCACTCCTCTGTGCATGGGGAAAGGCATCCAGCTCAAAAGTACATTCTGAAAGCTCACCCTCCCTCCCTCCCTCCCCATCTCTAAATGATTGATCATAATATGGAATTGGGTGAAGGGTGGGTGGGGTTGAGGTGGGGGGAGGTTCTTACCGCTAACAGATGCCTGAGATTTCTTGTTATCTATTAAAGAAAAAACACAAAGACAAACCCTCAGAAGCACATCGTCCACCAGCACATTCCCTCTTAACCTGTAGGCACCTCAACCAGCCTACATTCTGTCTAGGCTTTCAGAAGGTCATGTAGGCTGACAAACTGGGGCTCCCAAAGCAGGATGGCCCCCCAGTCCCCGATGACTTTAGAGGGCAGCAAGTCCTGCCCTTACAGGAGACCTGGGACGCCCCTAGGAGCACACACCATTCTCCAGGAACCAAGAGACTATCTCAAGCAGGCAACAATGATGGAAACAATGAAGGCATCCAGGATCACAAAATGGTGTCCACAGGAGGTCGAGAAGTGCTTAGGCTAAGCTGGATGGTGGAGGTGGAGGCCCAGAAGATCATGCAAATCAAGGTCAGCCCCACAACTGACCTAGACTCCCAGGGCTCACGGGCCTCGAAATGACCTGAGGCCTTCACGGGCCACAACCTCCCACATCCTGGGATTGCCCCAGACCCAGAAGTCATAGAACCTTGGATTCGGGACCCAGAAGGGACATAGCTCAGACAGTTGTGAGCTGTGTAACCTTGGCCAAGGCAGCTCACCCCTCTAGGCCTTAATGTCCTTATCAAAATAGGGATAAGCCTCTCTCCAAAGAGTTCTAAGAAGCACCTTCAAGTGTGATAGAAATATGAACTGTATCTTATGAGATCACCAAATCCAATCACCTCATTTTATAGAGGGGGAAACTGAGACCTAAGACAAAAAAGGCTAAGAGGCAGTGTGGGGTAGTGGGAAGAGCACTGAATTTGAACCCAGGAGCTTGGCTTAAACCCTGAGCTGGCCTTGGTTAGGTCAATTAGCCTATCTCTACCTCAGTTTCCTTGTCTATACAATAAGGGCCTTACACTAGTGGATCTCCAGGTTTCCTTAAGGCTCTAAAGTCTGTATCTTTGACTGGCCCAAGGTCACCCAAGGAACCAGTGACAGGAGTATAAGGCATCAGCAAGGTGGCCCTGCTGAAAAGCTCTGCTTGGGCAGAAATCACCTAGTGACTCCAAAAGAGCAGCAGACAACACAGAAATCTTCAACATGGGCTTCAAAGGAGATTTCTCATTTAGGAGGGACCATGCTAAGTTAGAGAAAACTGGCATCCTGAGGAGGGCAACTGGAATGGGGAAGACCCTCGAGTGCGCACACTCTGAGGACCTTTGAAGGAACCAGGCTTGTTTAGCTGGTAAAAAGGAAGACTCCGGAGGGACGGGCCGGCCGTCATCAAGGCCTCAAAGGGCCGCCATGTGTGACAGCGCTCAGCCCTGCTCTGTTTGGCCAACGTAGGCTGGATGTTAGGGGACATCTTGCAATGAGAAGGCCCAGGATCCTGGGAGGTGGCAGGTTCCCTGTACTAGCGGCCTCCCACCGCACGCTGTGGAAGAAAGCCTTTCTCAGGTGCAAGTAGCCTAGATGCCTCAGAAGCCTCTTCTGACCCGGAGATCCTGGTGAGTCACAGGATGAGAGAGCCTCAGAGGCAGAGGTCAGCTAGTTCCAATTCCTCCAGGGGATGCACAGATCACTACTACAACCTATAGAAAATATATTTCCCCTCAACCTCAGGGTCCTTTCTAAGTATTGACTTCCCCTGACTAGGTCATCCAATCCAATCCAATCCAATCAGCACTTATTAAGCACCTACTAAGTACAATGTATTGCTATAGCTCCTGGGGACATAAAGACAAAGAAAAAATAGTCCCCGTTCTTCCTGAGGAGGAAGGACATTTGAGGCCTGGGAAATGGTCCACACAAAGGCTCCATGATGAACTACTAAGTCTGGGAAACACACCAGTAGGCCAGTTTGGCTGGAAGCGTGTGCGTGAAGGGGAGTAACGGATAATAGAATGGGAAGGCCGGCAAAAGCCAAGGAGTGTGGGCTTCTAAATGCTGAGCACTGGAGTTCATTGTTTGTTTTATTTTTCCCTCAAGGCTATGGCCTCCTTTTTGGGAGTGAATAATCTTCATAAGCAGAGGAGTGATGGGGTCAGTTGTGACCTCCTAACATCACAAGTCAATCCAGTTACATATTCCCAACAACACACTGAGAGGAGTAATGACTTGCCCAAGGTCACACCACCAGTCAGTGGCAGTGCCAGGACTACTACTTTACTTAAATATTCAAATTCCTATAAACAAGACTTAGAGTCATCTGTTAAAGAGAGATGATTCTCTAGTCTGCAGATAATTCATGTACTTAGTTCTTAGAGCACTTTCATTTCAGAATAGCAGAGGAAGGAAAAACAGATGAAATTCAACTCCTTGCCCCCAAAAAGGAGGGGCTGACCGTGATAGGAAGCTGTGACTTGTGGCAAAGATGAAGCTCTGAGGTTAACACTGACCCACTTCCTTGTTCATCCAGTTACCAAGACTAACACGCACTAGCACAGCTGTAGACAGCATTCGGCTGGGTGCGTGGGCAAGGGAGATGCAACTGACAGGACCGCCCAGTGACCGTCCCGAAAGAATGGCCACGCACTCCAAGCCTGGAAATGCCACGAGGAATCTCTGAGCAGGAAGGCACCTGCAGGCAGCGTCAAAGCCAGCCCCTACTTTCCCGATAAAGAGAATCCCAGGCCCCAAGAGGGGAAGTGGCTCGCTTAAGGTCGCTGAATGGGTCAACGGCAACCAAGGGAAGAGAAGGACACTGATGAAGGCCACCATAAAGGAGCCCGTATCTTCCTGGTGTTCTGGTGACCAGTCACAACAGTAACATGGAACCAAAGAGCATGAGATTTTCTAAGCTGAAAGGCACTCAAGAAATGCCCTACTTTAACCCCCTCTTCTGTGAGAGAGAATGAACTTGAAACCAGTGCCTGGCACATAACAGGTGCTTAATCAGTGTTTGTTGATTGACTGACTGAAACCCAGGAAAGGGAAGTGATTTATCCAAGGTCCCACAGAAAGTCTATAGTAAAATTGGGCCTAGAACCCAGGGCCCCAGATCTCCCAAACTGGTTCCTTTTCCTCTATACTACCATGGGACAAGGAACAAATTAGGAACCATTCACTTAAATTGGAAATCTTCCGTCTAAGTAATAACCAGGTTCAACCCTGTTAAGGCTCCAGATCAGACAAGATGAAGCACATTCTTGTCCCTACTACATAGCAGTATGGCCACAGCCTTTATGAGAAGGGGCTTCCCAGGCTTCTTGGCAAGAGTGGAAGATCATGGGTGGGAAACATCAAGTGTCACTTGTTCAATATTAGTTGTGCTGAATTTTCTCCCCTTTTTATTCTAAGGGATGGATTGGGGGCAGGGAGGTAGATGGTCACAATGGGAAATGCTGCTGATTTAAAGAACAGAAGATATCATTTTTCTAAAAAATGTAAATCTCAAGTCTCAGAGGTCGGATAAGTTTCTGCTCTAGAAAAGCAGTGAGACAAGCAACAGCGGGTCTTAAGAACTTCACACCACACCCCCACATAGATCCGAGAAAGAGGAAAAAGGCTCATGTGTCCAAAATTACTCATAGCAACTCTTTTCAAAGTCGCCCCAAACGGGAAGCTAAGGGGTGCCATCAGACGGCTAAGCGAATTCTGGTGTCTGAGACGTCATGAAACAGCCTGAGGGCGGGAAGAAATGACAAAGCGGGACAGTTTCAGAGGAAACTGGTCAGTGATCGTTTCCAAGACCTGCTGCCAGAGGTGAGGTTCAAATGCAGAAGGAGACATCCAGGTTTTGTCTGAGGGCTCGTTTCTTTCTTGCTTAAGTGTTGGGTGGGGTGGGGGTAGGGCATGTTAATTAGAAAAGTATCTATAAAGATAGAAGTAAAAATAAATTGAACTATTGAGGAAAGAAGGCTATGCATTTGCTCCTCAAAGTTCCTCTGCCTTCAAGGCAGCTCTTGAGAGTATCTGAGCAGGCCTGAGCCAAAGAGGGCTCTCCTTTGTGAAATCTCCTTTGTGAAGAAAAAGGCAACTGAGACCCGGAGTCACACAGTCAGGAGGTAAAAGGATTCAAATCCATTGTGAAGGAGAAAAAAAGCGCTGCAAGCAAACCACACAGGCGAAGGGTCCGTGAGACAACGGGGTCTAAGTCAGGAGCCAAGAAGAGGGACGGCCTCCGGTGGCAGATAGGAACGAATGTCACCAACTGTCCCGCAAGCTCTCTGAGGCCAGGGACTGTCTCATCGGGCTTTGTGTTTTGTCTCTGTGTCCCCAGGACCTAGCAGCAGCTCCTGAATAAAGGATAGGAACTCCTAAGCTGAAACAACTACTTGTGCCCAGTGTGGCCAGCAGGACCTCTCCAGACCAGTCCCAGATGCCCCTCCACCTCTCCCCTGGGCTCGTTCTCAGGGTGCCTTCCCAACGGCTCTCAAAAGTCAAGAAATACAAAAGTTGTTACTTACGAATGTCTCGGAAATGGATAATGAGCCTGGCCACAAGGGAAAGATATTCGTCCTAAAATTAAAAAACAGGAAGTAGTTTAATCCAAAATGAAGAAGACAGACATTTAGTGACTCACCATTTCCCTTCTCTCAGCAGAAGGGAGCCCTTCTTCCTGTGGGCCAGTTGAGCCACACACTGACAGATGGCAGGGGCTGGAGCACAGGCACTGAGGACCCATGTGGGAGAAAAAGTCATCAGAGCCTAGGTAATCGGGCCGAAAACAGGCCGAGAGGAAAGAGGGGGCCGGGACAAAGGAGGGAGATGCAGGGATGTGAAACTCGGGTTCAACCTACTGCCCATTTTCTTCATATCTGAACGCCACGACTGGGTGAGCCCTCTGAATACAGGGCGTGGAGTGCTTGAGCTGGGAGGACCCCGGAAGGTCGGAGGAGGATGGGACCAATCTCCTCCCTCTAAAGAGGGGAAGCCGAGGTCCGGGGAGGGGAAGGGAGAGAGCAGCCCTGCAGCTGGAGTCAGAGGCCCTCGGCACCAATCAGAGATCAGTTACGGGGAAGCAGATTAAAACATCCTTGTCACTTTCTCAATCTAAAAACCCTTTCCAGACTTGCTGTCTTAGGAAGGCAGATAAGGCTGGAAAAAAAAAAAAGAACTTTTTTTAATGGCATTTGTACCGAGCCTACCAAAGGAAACTAGACATGGGACAGAAGTAGCTCCAGTCAGTCCCCTGACCCATTTTCCACTTGGAGGGAACAGCTCTCTTTTTGGCCACTCAGAAAGGGTTCTAGCCTTGATCCTGATCACAGGGAGGAGACTCTTTCAATCCCACAGAAGAAACTGAGGAGTTGAAGACAATTTCGTTCTTGGAATGCTAACCCCCAAAACAGTACTTTAACCTATTCTGACCCTTTCCCTGTTCAAGATTCTTAATAAACTACCTCAGGATCAGGGAGGGAAGGAGGATGCTATACTAGCTTGGACATCTAGACACTCCTCTAAGCTAGAAATTCCAGGACTTCGAGTAATACCAAATAAATAAAAAGTGTTTCTGGTAAACTCCTGCCCCAAAGCCAGAGTTCAGAGTCAATATTTTGTTTTCAACATTTAACCTCTGAGTCTCAGTTTCCTCATCTGTAAATAGAGCTAATCAAACCTACTCTGTACACATAATGCTTTGTTAACCTCAAAGCACCATGGAGACGTTAGCTAGTGAGTACCCAGATGACTTTCCCACTGCTGATTTTTCATTTGTGTACAAAAGTGGACTGGTCTCTCCACAGTCAGTAATATCTGGGCTTTATTTCTAAAGTACTCCCAGCACATTAATAGTTTGTGCGAGGGAGAGTTTACAAAGCACATGGCTGTGGTGAAGAAAGCAAAAGTAACATCAGCCCCATTTTATAGATACATTAGAAAGTGAGCCTCAGAGAAAGGAAGTGACATGCCTGGGGTCCCATGACTAACAAGGGGTAGATGGAGGCTTGGCTCCTGGGTCTGCTGAGCCCAGGGCACTTCCCCTGACTCCACACTGGCTCTAGCGTGTGTGAAGCCTGTGGAAGGCCAGCGCTGGCCAACACAAGGCAGCTCTGTAACCCCGACAACTACAGCGATGATTGTGTCCCTACATCAATTCTGATCCAATATGATCTATCCCGTGTGTGAACATGTGTGTATGGTGTGTGTGAGCCTGCTCGCGTGTCTTACATGGTCTCTGTCCACTTCTTCTCCCTTCTCTCTCCCCAGCCTCCTCTTCCTTAGCTTTGGGCTAACTGGCTGCTAGAAATGGAGTCAGAATCCAAGAGCACTAGAAAGTGAAAGGCCCAGAGCCATTCTGGGGTCAGGGGTTCCTGCAGCTCATAACCCATCCAGTCCACCTGTAGCCTCTGCCCAGCCCCCACCCCCTGTCCCAAGAGAAAGGGGCAGGAATGTTACAAGATGGAAGGGACTGCCTCAGGGGTTCCCCCAGGGAGTGGATTCCTGCTCTAGTACCTCTGTGACCTTCCCCTTTATGCGCCTCAGGCTCTACCTCTGTGAAATAAAAGAGCTGGGAAAAGAAAAGAGGGAACAAATCTCCATGTGCGCAAGCGCAGAGCCACGTGGGTGCACACACGCGTGCACACGCATGCGCGCCCCTTCACTGGAGAGGGGAACACTAAAGAGCTAGTAGGTAGGATTGAGCGGATCATTCTGCCGCTTGACCGGGGTTCGGACGGGGTCACAAAAGGAGTACTTCATACCAGAAGACCCAGAAATAGCAGATGTCAAAACACGAGGCGTCAATAACACTTAACACACAAGCACTAGGTTCGCCGAGGTGACCGCCACGGTGCCTCTGAGCTCCATATCTGCCATCCATCCCAGGAACCTAGATGACCTTTGCAGCCCTGCCCGCCGGAAGGGGTCTCCGTCTTTCTGGGCATTGGTGGGTTTCAGCAGGGATAGAAGTTTCGTCAGCTTCCCCTTCCTCTGGGGTCCTTCTTTTCTGGATTACTTCAATCCTAGACAGTCTCTTTGTCAGAGAGATGTCCAACAGGAAATCTCTCCAGCTACAGCTCACAGAACACAGGGCTCAAAGGGCTGGTTCCAATTCTTGTTTGGAACCTTCAAAACTGGCTGAATCGGTGGTGCCCCTTTTACAGATGAGAAAATTGAGCTTCAGTTTCACTGACGTGAAGTGACTCACCCTTGACCCCAGTGCTGGGAGATAAAGCTGAGACCAAAGCACACATCACCCGATCCTTTCTACCTGCTGTCATGTGACAGCTAATAATGCACGGTGCATGGCATGGGGGCAGCAGCACCAAAGTGCTGGCCAGCATTCTATGTGGGGCATCCATTGTCCCCACCTTCTGAAGGGGCAGGTGTGCCCAGCCCAATATTGCCTTCTCACACCTGAGCAGTCAGCAGCTTGGTTCTCGCACCTGCCCCAATGCTCTCCACCCCCTTGGCCCAACCTCACTTGGCCACAAATCATGCCTTTTGAATGAACTCCCCCAATCCCAACAACACCATCCCCTTGGCCTTTGGAAACCTCAGCTTCTCCCAAGTGACACAGATGAGAAAGTCCCTCACCATGGCCACTGAAATAATGTGCACAAAAGCACTCTGAAAACAGTGCCATGTAAATGAAAGGTATCATGATTTTCATTGCTGTTACAGAAATGAGCCTCTAAAAACATTTCATTTTTACAAAAATACAGACAGGCTCTGGAGTCAGAGTTACAAGGCGAGGGGTCCAGTCCTAGCGCAACCACTTACTAGCTCAATGCCTCTGGACGAGTCCCTCCCCTTTCCTAGGCCTCAGTTTCCTCACCTGTAAAATAGGGAGACTAAGTCTTGAATTCCCTCCCTGATGGGGTCACTGTGAAGAACTTCTGGCGCACCACACAAAGGAGCCATGCCTTCCTTCATCTCAGGAGGTCAGGGGTCGGGAGGCTGCTCCCCCACCTTTGGCCTCGGCCCTCCTCTCCCAAACCCAACAGCCCCAGTGGTGCCTTACCCGGGTTTTGGCCTTCAGGAATACATGGCTCTCCATGTCCTTGCTGGATTTACTGTGGGCTACTCCGGCTTTCCTCATTGCCTCTTCACTGTAACACAAAAGGCAGAGAAGGCGTCACTCGTAGCAGTCCTGACCCTTGTGTCCCCTGCTCCTGCTCCCCAGCTGCCCAGGGATGCAGCCAAGCTCGGGGCAGGAGGTACAGTTACAGGACAGAAAGCGGGAGAGGCCTGGCCCCCTCCCCTGCGTGCAGGGCAAGGGAAAGGCACAGGGGCTGGCACGGGAGGGCAGGCAATGGATCTGGGGGGAGGGCTCTCCTCACGGGCCATGGAGGTGGCAGGATCAACGTCCCCACCAGAGAGACGCACAAGCAAACCACAGAGATCAGTCATGCAGCCAACAAATATTTATTCACTGTCCACTGTGTAGAGATTAGTGTACCAGATGCTAGGGAAGGAGTTTAAAACATTCTGGGAAAGTAGGAGAGAGGAATGTGTACAGTAAGAGTAGAGGAATAACCAACAGCCAGAACTCAGCTGTTTCACCCCCAATATATCAGAAAGATGTGCCACCCACCCCCACCCCCACCCCCCATGCCATAAAGGCTCTTTCACTATCCTCCTCGTCCTCCTCCTAGAAGGCCCCCAGTGGGAGACATCAGGTGTGTGACAGACAGAAGCCGACAAGCGCAGTAACTTGGTGTTTGACCAACTGAGAGATCCCACATGTCGGGGTAAGAACTCACTGGGTGACAAAAACTGCTGGGAAAATGGGAAAGTATCCTGGTAGAAACTAGGCACAGCCCCAACATGTCACATTATTTACCAGAACTATCTCAAAATGGACACGTGACTTAGACTTAAGGAGCGATATTATAAGCAAATTAGTGCCGTATGTAAGAAATGATTTGTCAGATTTATGAAGAGAGGAAAAGTTTGTGACCAAACTAGAGATAGAAAGGGTCACAGGAGGTAAAATGTATAATTTTGATTTCATAAAACAAACAGTTTTCATCCAAACAAAACCAATATAATTAAAATTAGAAGAAAAGCAGGAAACTGGGGAGGGGGAATCTTTGCAGGAAGTTCTCTGACAATGCTTTTATTTAAAAAATATGTAGGAAACTGAATCAAATTTACAAGAATACACCATTTCCCAATTGATAAATGGTCAAAGAATATGAACAGGTTGTTTTCAGAGAAAGAAATTCAAACTATCAATAGTCATGTTAAAAAATGCTTTAAATCATTAATAATTAGAGAGATGTACAACAAATCTGAGGTACCACCTCACACCCGACAGATTGACTAAGATGATAGAAAGGAAAGCGACAAATGCTGGAGGGGATATGAGAAAACAGGTATACTAAGGCACTGCTGGAGGAGCTGTCACCAAATCTAACCAGCCCAGGAAGCAATTTGGAACTATGCCCAAAAAGCTAGTAAATCAGGCTTACCCTTTAACCCAGCAATAATGCTACCAGGTGTATACCCCAAAGAGATCAAAAAAATAAAGAAAAGGACCTATGTGTATAAAAATATTTCTAGCAGCTCTTTTTGTGGTGGCAAAGAATTGGAAATTGAGGGAATGCTCATCAATTGGGGAATGGCTGAACAAGTTGTGGTATGTGATTGTGATGGAGTCCTATTGTGCTTCAAGAAATGACAAGCAGGATAGTTTTGGAAAAACCTGGGAAGGCTTGCATGAACACAGAGTGAAGTGGGCAGAACCAGGAGATACAGAAACTGATATATAAGGATAAGCAGCTACGAGAGACTTAGTAACGCTGATCAATACAATGACCAGCTACAATTCCAAACGACTGATTGTAAAACATGACTAATGGACACAGAGTGCAGACTGGAGCATATTTCCTTACCACTCCTAACTGTTCTGACTAGGTCCACTACAAATTGATGTTCCATGACCTCACCTGTGCCCTCAATGCTGTCAGGCAATCTTTCTAGACCTCCTTCACCAACTCACTCTCCCACCCTCCACAGCGGCTCATCTCTCCTCATGCCTCCCATGCCTCTCTCTCCTCTTCCCTCTCAGCTGAGAACCTGCCTCATATTTTGCAGATAAAATTGCAGTTATCTGCTGTGAGCCCCCCCTTCTTCTCCTCATCTCCTATGACTCAGGTGCCCCGTGCCCCATTCTCCTCCTTCACCCCTGTCGTACAGGATGAAGTGGCCTCACCCCTTACCCAGGTTGACCCCTGTCCGTGTTCGAGTGACCCCAATTCCATCCCCTCTCCCCCAACAGACTGCCTCCCCATCCCCACTCTGTCACTCTTCTTCACTCTCCCTCTCTACCTATTTCCTTTTGGCTGCAAACCTGCCCGTGTCTCCCCCATCTTGAAAAACCCGAACTTGATCCTTCCATCCCTACTAACTATCATCCTCCATCTCTTCTGCCCTTTGTAGCTAAAATTCCGGAAAAGCTGCCTCCCCTGGGGCCCCCACTTTCTCTCTTCTTAACCCCTTACAGTCTAGCTTCCTATTTCATCATTCTGCTGAAACTGCTCTCTCCAAAGTTACCAGTGACCTCTTAGGTGCCAAATCCAACAGCCTCTTTTCCATCCTCCTTCTCCTTGGCCTCTCTGTGGCCTCAAACACTGTCCGTCACCCTCTCTTCCTTAGTATTCTCTCCTCTCTACGCCCCTCTCCTGCCCTGCTTCTCCTGCTCCCTCTCTGACTGCTGCTTCTCTGTATCCTTTGCTGAACATTCCTCTGGATCACTTGGAGGTGTTTATTGGGGGTCTGTCCTGGGCCCTCTTCTCCTCTCCCCTCTACAACTTCACTCATCAGATCCTATGGATTAAATGACCATCTCTAGGCTATGACTCTCAAATCTACCTCTCCTACCCCAGACTTTCTGTTGACCTCAAACTGGATGTCCAACAGACGTCTTACACTCAGCATATCCAACGTGGAATCTTTCCCCCTGAACTCTCCCCTCCTGCTATCTTCCCTGTAACTGTAGAGGGCCCTGCCACCCTCCAGACCCCAGGCTTGGCATCATCCTGCATCCCTCACTACCTCTCGCCCCCCACATCCAATCTGTTGCCAAGACCTGTTGAATTCATCTCTGTGACAATACGCCCTCCTGTCTCTTTTCCTAGCCCCCTACTACCTTTCCAGTCTTCTTCCACCTTACTCCCCAATACAAACCCTTTTACCCAGTGACACCGGCCTCCTCGCTGTTCCATAAACAAAACACTCCATCTCCCAACTCTGGACATTTTCTCTGGCTATCCTCCAGGCCTGGAATGTTCTGCCTCCTTCTCTATTCCAACCACTGACCTCCCTGGCTTTCTGTAAGTCCTAACTCAAATCCCACCTTCTTCGGGAAGCCTTTCCAGTGACCCCTCAATGCCAGTGCCTTCCCTCTGTTAATTATGTCCTATATCTCCTGCACATAGCTCACTTTGTTTGTATTTGTTTGCATGTCATCTCCCCCGTGTAAGCGCCTGGAGGGCAGTTCCTGATACTCAGCAGGTATCTGATAAATGTTTACTGATTGAACGATTCCACATGACTATGTGGAAATGTGTTTCGCGCTGATTTTGTTTTTCTTGCCTTCACAAGGGGGAGGAGGGAGGGAATTTCTAACTGAAAATAAAACTTAATTTCGGAAAAAAAAATGCCACCAACATGTTAGATACTCCACGGAGGAGCTACAGAAATACACAGGCAAAAATTATATAGAATAAAAGGATACAGAAGTGTTAAAATCCATCAAAAATCAAAATAAGTATTTAAGGAAAATGGTTGCAAAGGCCTACCAAATCAACTGAATGAACTCCCATAAGGGAAAGAAAATTAACTATAGAAACAAGTATAAATTATATTCTAAATTGCATTAGGCAACCAAAATTATTTCATTCTGTTGGAAATGCACTGGGGGAAAAAGACCTGGGGTTTTTGGTTGAAGAGGCTCTGCAGTGTAACGCCACAGGACAAAAAGCTGTGATCTTGGTTTGTAAACGCAGACAGAGGAAGAGGAAGAGGAAAAGGGCCACTCTGCTGGTACCTACTCAGAAGACCTGCCCCTAGCTCGGGGAGCTGCATTTTCAGAAGGGCCCTGTCAAGCTGCTAGGGCCAAAAAGGCGAGGTCTAGGAGCAGGTTGGAGAGGCATCTGTAAACACTGCCCCCTGAGGAATGTCTAAAGGTACTTAAAACACTGGGAGAACTCGGGACCATAGACATCTAACATTTGGAGCTAGACAGGGCCTCAGAGGTGACAGAGTTCAGTTCTCCACTTTACAGAGCCCTGAAAGACAAAACTGATCTGTCTTCCTCAGTATTAATCCTCCCCTCACTCCTTTTCACTCCAGCATATTGAACCAAACTCTCACATCTCGCTGTTTTTACCTTCACCATATCTTTCACGTGCTACCTGTCCTCTGTACTCACCTATTCCCTCCCAATCCCCTGCCAAACGGCCACAGCAGGAACTTCCTAAGGGGCCTCCCTGCCTCAGGCCTCTCCCCTACTCTCACCCACAGCCACCCAATTGCCAGAGTGATTGTCCTCAAGTGCATGTGACTTCCTGTTTAATCAGTCAATTAATCACCATGTATCACTCACTAGCAGAGGATCCAAAGAAAAGCAAAAGGCATCAATCAGTCATGTACAGTGGTAACCCCAGAGATGAGGAGGGAAGCATTCAGTGAGAAAGTGCAGGGCCCAAAGATGAAGCGTTTGTGGGAGCTGCGGCAGGAAGTCAGTGCTGCGGGACCACAGAACGCTGGGAAGGCACGACGGGGGCGGGTTAGGAAGGTTTTAGAAAACCCCCTGAAGACCAAACACTCGATTCTCAAGTAAAAAGAAGCCCCTGGAGAGCCCGGGCAGGGACGGTACGACACAGTTTTTTCAGAAGATCACTCTGGCAGGTGATGGAGGATGGTCGAGAACGGGGGGAAGGATTGAGGCAGGCTACGACGGCGGCCCGGGCATGAGGTGGCGAGGGCCTACGCCAGGGTACTGACTGTGTGAGCAAGGACCCAGGAGATGGTGGGCAGCATGGCAAGACATGGGTTGTGTGGGGGGAGCGCAAGACAACACCCAAAGGGTGAGCCTGGACGA